CGGTCGAATTGAAAGTACTAAAATGCACAATTGAATCTTTATTCACTTCCTAAACATGAATTAAAAAATCCATCACAAATGAAATAATAAAAATTAATAAAAATTAAGACATCAATATAATAAAACTACATAAAAAGTATTATTCTATATTTCCATTTATACTCTTTTTAAATATGTTTATACTGAATTGGGAAGTGATCGGTTACTTTGGACTATAAGTAACATTGGATTTGTGTGGTGTTAAAAGAATGAAAAAAGTAATCGTAAGTACACATATTTCTCTTAACTTATTAGGTAATGTTTGATTGAGCCAGATAAAATGGGCTAACAATCATGATAACCATAAGCTTGTCTCTTAAGGGAAAGGTTAGATGTTAATGGAAATGGCCAGAAGTGCAAAGAAGATTCAAAATATGTAACTAGTTAAATAGAGAAATGTATAGCTAGCTAGTAAGGTAAACGTCTTCACTTTATAATATTACTATAAGAAAAAGATAGCTTTCTTCTACTCCATTCTGGTCTGTCCCAAAATATATAATTTCAAAATTCAAGTAAAAGATAGCATAATTTCCTATTCCTTTGCTTGAGAGCTAACCATCAATGGGCAGGTGTTCTCATCACCTTACATCTTTTTTGTTATTTTTTTATATCTCAATTATGCTCTTTATGTTTCTCTCTCTCTCTCTTTCTCTCTTTTCTTTTTGGGATTTTTATTTTAATAATCTATTTAAAAAACTCAAAACACACCATATTAATAAAATTAAATGATGTGAATTTTCACTTAGTATAAGTTTATTGCTAATTTTGTAGGTTTTATTTGTCGATTATCTTGATTATTTTTTTGTGAAGTGAGACAAATAAATACATATTTTTAGTGAAACAACAAAAATATTAGCATGTGTTTTTTTAGAATTTTTGGTTATATGGTGAAACAGACTACCTACGGGTATATCTAATGGGTAGTAAGTTTTTTAAAAAAGGACTAAAAAAGTTTTTATGAAAATGGGGATCTAAATTTAAAAGCCCAAACCCAAAGTCTATTTTTGACGATTCTACTACATACAATATGTTACTTCATCTTAGAGATAGTGTTAAAAAAATAAGGGAATGAGGTAATTTGACTTAATGTAAAGAATTTAAAAATCACAATAGTTAATTAGGTGACCAAAATGAAACTAGCAAATTAGTTAATAAACTAAAAATCAAATTAGTTATTAAAAAAATAATTTACACTTTTATCTTTATGTTCTTATATAAGTATTATGATATTTAATTTAAATGTGAAAAATTTATATATATATTTTTTGGTAATAAATTTTTTAATATTGAGTGACTAAAAAAATAATAATTTACTATATAAAATTAAAACATTGAGGACACTTGATTTAAATTATAATTCTCCAACACAAATTAAACTATACGTTGATAACAACTTTTTATATCGTAATGAATAATATAACAAAATAAATAAATAAATAAATAAAATAAAATAAATGATTTAAAATTTGATATAAAAAAAATATGATAGGAAACATAAGGAAAAAAAATGAATATAAATAAAAATAAAAATAAATTATTAAAAAACAAAAAAAAAAGTATAATGATTTTGATTTATATAAAGTATAAAAATTTAAAAATAATTTGAAGATGGAGAATAATTATAATAAATTGATGAAAATAACTGAGAAAATTTGGACAAAAAAAATCAATAACACGAAAGAAAACGAATAATTTTTAAATATTAAAATTAAACTGAAAATGTTTTAGTAAATATAATAAGTTTTTAAATATCAAATCTCATATCCCCTTTCTTCCCCTCTCCTCCAAATTTTCCAAATTCGGAGGGATTCACAAATGTGTTTTGAAGAGATCGTGTTCCCCTCTATTTTCTTCCTAAAATTTGAACCAAACATATTTAATTAAAATTTTTTTCTCTCCTCCCCTCCATCTACCCCAAACCAAACACACTCTTATTTTCAAATCCTCCCAATCTATATTGGGTTTAGATGATAACGAAATAATAATAACTAGATTATACCTGAGTGAATTAATATTGTTGTACCTGATCTAATATTTTTCTCATTGTCCTTATAAATGATATCTGATCTTAAAAACAAGTTGGTAAGTTTTATTTTTTAGTATCTAGTTTTATGTCATCTCTACTAACCATTGTTTCCTTATGTTAAAATGTTCCGCAATTGTATATAAAAATTGTTATGCAATAGAGTTGAATGCACCAGAACCATTTAATCAAACAATTATCATATTCTCATGTCTTGTCAACATAATAAAATACAATAAAAATGTGTCAAATGAGTTGGGTGATAGGATGACATGTTTCTTGAAACCCAATATACTGGTATTTGATAACCATTATTATAGTTAATGGTTTTTCATTTTCTTTCGAATCACTAATTTCAACTAGTTTTTTCTAATTAACTCTACTCTCTGCCTTAGTTTTAGTATTTTTCTAGTTCTGACTTCTTGATCTTCTAAAGTAACATTTCTATAATGAATACTTTAACTAAAAAATATTTAACCAATTCCATTTTTAGCACTATTGTTTACATATTATAGTGATATAATTTGTATTCATTCTAACACAAAATCAAAACCCTCAATGCCATATCTACATATCAAACTCTACCACCAAACCATTTTCCTTGCAAATATGTACACTTAAATATTCTCTACCTGCAGAACTTTCATTTGTTGCTTTAGTCAAAATTCAAGGAAGTTTTACATTATATTTTTCTTAGATTCATCTATCATTGCTTCTGTCAGTTTAGTTGCAGGAGCATGAGTCTTGTTCAATATTTCCTTCCCACATTCTTCCTATTAGGAGTCGTCACATGTTTGGAAGATTCAAGCATCACTTCATTAGTTAATTTGGTAATCACTTTCCCACTGTTGAAATAGTGTCATTTATGCTTAAAATCTTCCTTATCACACACGTCTATTTTTTAAAAATTTAAGATACGTTATGACCTAAATACGTTAAAAAAATTGTATAAGTGTAGAATACTTGTAAAGAAATACGCATTGATCTTTCTTCACAAAAACTGGATTTTAACTCGATCGGGTCCGAAAGTCGCACCTCTCTTGCGACTTGTGAACGACCCAAAAGTGGTTGGGATTCAAAACTTTGTTGCGATGAGTGATTCCATAGCGGTCGACCTCCATGCCGATACGCTCTCCCAGGATAATGCCGTGTTAAAATTAATGTGTTGTAACCGCCACTATCTTCAATTAGCATTATAAGAGAATTGGCATCACCACATTATAATTATTGTCTTTATTTATATTTATGATAGAGTTGTATCATTAAGATTGAGAGAACCAAAGAGTCATTATCTTAATTACCAACTTAGTGTATTCTCTATCAGTTTTCTTCAAACCTATATAAAGGTTTTGTAATGCTAAGTTGTAAGCAAGCAAGAAAAAAGAGACAAAAGAGTGTGTGGTGAATTTAATAAAATCAGAGTATTTTAAAGTATAACTTCCACCAGTGAAAGTTTAGTGAAAAAACTGACCGAAAAATATTTTCTTATTCTAAATTTTGCAACAGTATATTTTATCACATACACCAACAATGTGGTATCAAAGCTGCAGATCCTTGCAGCTGCAGAAAAAACAACAAAAAATATGGCTTCCACAAGCAACTCTTCCACAACTTATAGCAATGTTAAAGTTCTTTTGTATGAAGGAGAGAATTATGATTTTTGGGCTGTTAAAATGGAGACTCTATTCACATCCCTGGATGTCTTGAAGTTCGTCTAAAACAGGTATGAATATACAACACCAATAGAGGCGGGGGAATCAAAAGAAAAGGCTGAAGAATCAAGCCAACGACTTGGAGAATTGAAGAAGAAGAAGATCACAAATGCTAGAGTTCTCAGGATAATTTAAAGAGGAGTCTCTGTATCCATTTTCCAAAGGATTATGAGAGAGAAAACATCATAGGAAGCATGGAATGTTCTACAACAAGAGTTTGAAGGAGACTCAAAGGTGAAAACTGTGAAACTTCAATCTCTTAAGACACTACTACAAAAACGTTTTTTAATAGCGTTTTTTTTTGCTTTTTAATAGCGCTTTAAAGCGCTATTAATCAAGGCGCTATTGTAAAATAAAATTTTTAATAGCGCTTTAAAAGCGCTATTATAGTTCTAGTAATTAATAGCGCTTTTTCAAAACCGCTATTATAGGACCTGTCTTTAATAGCGCTTTTACAAAACCGCTATTATAAGTCACATATTTGATAGCGCTTTCAAAAAAGCGCTATTATAGCACAGATAATTTGCTTTAATTTTGATAGCACTTTCAAACAAAGCGCTATTATAGTACACATATTTAATAGCGCTTTCCAATAAAGCGCTATTATAAGACACATATTTAATAGCACTTTCAAACAAAGCGCTATTATAATCCACATATTCAATAGCACTTCCAAACAAAGCGCTATTGAAATACCAGTAAATTACTTTAATTTTGATAGCACTTTCTAACAAAGCGCTATTATAGCACACTCTCTTCAAAACCCTATTCTAATACACTTTTTTTTACACCAAATCATTTTATATATATATATATATATATATATATATATATATATATATATATATATATATATATATATATATATATATATATATATATATATATATATATATATATATATATATATATATATATATATATATATATATATATATATATATATATATATATATATATATATATATATATATATATATATATATATATATATATATATATATATATATATATATATATATATATATATATATATATATATATATATATATATATATATATATATATATATATATATATATGGCATTTGCATTTTACAACATTAAAATTCATAAAATAATTATAACTAATTAAGTAACTAATTAAACATCTTGATTGATATGGCAAAGATGAAAGCAAAAACTATTGGAAATGCAACATTAACAACAACAACAACTCCTAGAAAATCATGCTTTGAAACCAAAGTAATCTCTCAAAAACTCTTCCACTGTAGTTACTCCTCCATCACTGGATTCAATGTTGCGTTTTACATTTCCATATTGTGATACCACCAATCCATACAAACTCCAAGCCACGGGATTTGCCCAGCTATACCATCTCCACCATACTGGAATTTTCTGTTAGCCCAAGCCATAAAAAAAATACAATAATTTAGCTATATACTTCTATGCTTAACAATAAACTGATAGCTAAGGGAGGTAAAACATGAAATTAGAATGGACTAAGGATTTGAGGAAATTGTAAACTTACTGGTCTTGGGACTATGAATCCTGAGAAGAGATTCCAAATTGAAAAGAAGGCGGAGGAAACTATATTTGAAATGTGGCTGTTTGGGGTCACGGCCACTGACATCATACCATAGAAGGTGAAGTAGAGGAAGGTAAAATACATAAAGAATAGGTACCACAAAACTTTAGCCACAGACCACTCAAAACCAATCATAGCATAAACTATTAATCCATAAACCAAAGCTTGTACAAAAACATATGGAAGCTCAATTACAACCTGCAATGCAAGAAAACAAAGGTGAAGTAGAAGTAATATTAAATGTATAAATTGTCAACCTTTTTTAATAATCTTTAAGATATTAAAGGCATTTAAGATGGTATGAGAATCTACTTTTATAATTGTTTTAGACGTTCTTCACTTTTGTTTGGAATAAATTGATTTGGAGGATATTACAGAAGTCAAACAAAAGAAAAATTTTAAAAATAAGGGATGCTTGCCTGAGCAAAAGCATATGGAAAAGCTGAATACATTCCGGCAGCTCTTTCTCTATAAAACACCGTTCTTTCAACACCAACCACTGGCTGCACTGAACTAGCATTCTTGACGCCAATGAGGAGGACAGCAGCGTACATGGACCCCATGGCATTAAAAAGATCTTGAACCTTTTCTCTGCAATAATTTCATATGAAATTTTAATGTTAGATCCAAAAAAAAAAACAGTTATACAAACTCAAGAGTTTGAAGCGGTAAAATATTTCCAATTTGATCTTACATTTTGGAGCAAAGATTCCAAAACATGGTTCCAAGCAAAACAGCTACCATGGTTGAATAGAGAAATCTTATAGCAGTGTATATAGGATTGCGCCAATAAGACCAATGTTGTTTCCATAAGCAAGCCATGCATTGTGTAACAAAGGATCTTGAGTACTGTGAACGAAAATAAAGATCTGACGAACCAGGAGCTGCAGTACTCAATTCTTCTATAAGTGTTTTGTTTCTCCTGAAACAGTTAAAGTAGATTATTATCCAGTGACTAGTTCTATAGTTTGATTTTGTTTCATATAAGTGAAAATACCTGTATAATTCTGAATTTTTGTACAAATCTGCAAAATCAATCCCCAATTCCACTTCTTTAGATGAAGATGTGATTTCCAACATCCATGTTGCCGGATTATAACCGTCTTTAATCTTGTTAACACCTTGGTTTCCCTTCAAGACAAAAAAAGTATGCCCGATGAACTTGAAATTTTAACAAGATAATGATTTGAAGCATAAAAATGAATTCAGTATTCTCTATTTTTCATTGGGTATATAGTTTCAACTTACCTCAAAGTAACTGATTAAATTGGAAGAATGATGTCCAAGTGGCCCCACATATATCTCTTTCCCTCCTTGCTTTAATAGCAAAAGCTGGCATTTCATAATGAGAAAAATATTAGACACTTAGTAAATTGTAATGGAAGAGAACAAACATAAAATTCTTCATTTCTTGAGTTTTTTCGACTTTTCCATTTTCACCTCATCAAAAGATTCAAATATATCAATGCTAGGTTGGTGGATGGTACAAACAACTGTTCTTCTGGTGTCTACTGTGTTCCTAACTGTTCTCATAACAATAGCTGCAGCCCTTGCATCTAACCCAGATGTTGGCTCATCCATGAATATTATAGAAGGATTGGCTACCAACTCAACCGCAATAGTCAACCTTTTACGTTGCTCCGTTGAGTGACCACTTACACCAGGAAGTCCTACTAATGCGTTCCGCAGCTGTTTCAGTTCCACAAGTTCCATAACTTCCTCAATAAACATCTGCAACCATTAGTCAGTTTCAAACTTAGCAGCATCGATAAAGCATGTTAGTATTGATTTAAAAATCTCTGGTGATTCAGATACTAACCTTTCTGGTTTCAGCATTGATCCCAAGTGACAATCTGAGCCACGCTGAATAGAGCAAAGACTCATGGACAGTAACATGAGGAGAGTGGATATCATTTTGCTCACAGTATCCAGAAATTCTTGCAAAGGTTTCTTGCTTCTTAGGATATCCTGAAATTCTGATGTCCCCGCTTATATATCCACCAGTTTTTCTACCAGCGAGCACATCCATCAGAGTTGTTTTACCAGCACCAGTCACACCCATCAGAGCAGTGAGAACACCTGGTCTGAAAGCTCCACTTACACCTTTCAAAAGAACCAACTTATCCTCAACAACACCTCGGTTTCGTATTTCTTGCAAGTTCAGTTCAAGTATTTGATAATCTTTTCTTCACACTAATGCTTTGAAAGTTCAATATGATCTTATGCCACGGTCAGTGTAAAGATATTTATACGGTCAAACAATAAATTGGCTGTGATTTGCTGACCAGGTAAAACTTTTTATACTGACAGTGTAATTTAATCAAACTCTTTACTTATTCGGCTTTTACATTACCTGTGGCATGTCTACTGAATATGTTACTTCATCGAAGGTGATTGAATGTGGTTCAAAAGGAAGAACCATTCCTCTTTTCCTACTACGATTTGTCTCGGAAACTGTTTCTTGTCTACTGGATAAAGTACTAGGAGAGGTGCTTCCATTTATCACTGTGATGTCACCCAAATGTTATCCATATGGTGTTATGTGAATTGAAGACACTAACTATCACTCATCAAAACATTACATGGACTTTAATTATGAGATGAAAGTACCTTTCATTGAGTGCTCTGAAAAAATATCCTTTATGTACTTCAATACACTAGTTCTTTTTCTGCTTTGAGATTCCTCTGGTATAACAGTTTGATGCTTCCCAAATGCTGCATGATTAATTTTGTAGAATTAGTACATGAGCTTGTCTTAACATTTTTATTATACATTTAAGGTGAAGAAGTCACTCACGTTTCAAGAAAGTGAGAGCAAGGATATATCCAATGTTGAAAAGCAATGTATATCCAATCAAAGCACCAACACCTATCCAGTACCAGTATGATTCAGTAAAGAATCCGCGAGATTTCAAAACTTCAATTCCCAGAGGCTCCGTTGAGTTAGGAAGCACCTTTCATAAGAAAAAGTTTCAAGGCATCATAAGACTATTTATATTTTGTTATGAGTACGAATCGAACTTGATACTCCAGAGTGACAAATTACAATACTAACATTCATCAGGCACCAACCACCTGGACTAATGTTAAGGAAAACATAGAAAATGAGCAGATAAAATAGTAAAAGAACTTACATGTTTCCAGTTATCCCCAAGGAACTCATTATTTACAATTACATTTTGTCCATACATCATAGGTGATATCCAAAATCCCCATATCCACCCTTTCTTTATACCGTCTGTGAGCATAAAGCAAAGAAAAGAAAGGAGAACTCTTAGTAGTATAGAACATAAATGTCACAAACACCATGATTGTTTATTTTTTTTTATATCTATGATATTATACCTTTTGATAAGACAAAACCACTCATAGAAAAAAGGATGGCAAGTGTAAATGATCCAAATGTTAGAGCCACTGTCATATCCCTCCCAACTGCCGCAACAAATCTGAATAACCCAGAAGCCATCTGGTGTACTAGTACAAGAACAAGGTATTGCCTAAAAAATCTGCACTAGGTAGCAGGATGTTAGAACAATGCAAACAAAGAACACAATATTAGATTAAGGAGGTTGGCGTAAAGCATTCAAATTACTAACACAAATTACAACACAAAGCATTCAAATCCCTAATTTTACCGGTCATAATTACACCACAAAGCATTCAAATCCCTAATTTTACAATTTAACACAAAGCAATAATCTGAGAAAAAGAAAGATTATCGGATATCAATAAAGAGAAGGGTGACGGTGGTGAGCTGATGACGGCGGCTCCTTTCGACGGAGAAGGATGACGGTGGTGAGCTGATGACGGCGACTCCTTTCGACGGAGAAGGATGACGGTGGTGAGCTGATGAATTTTGCGTGGGAGAAAGAATTTTGAGTGGGTGAGCTGATGAATTTTGCGGTGGTGAGCTGATGAATTTTGCGTGGGAGAAAACGAAAAACATTTGGGCCAGCTTTTCATATTTTAATTAATTTAATTTAGTGGAATATTTTAATAGCGCTTTTTAAAAAAGCGCTATCTTAAAACACAATTATAGAAACAATAGCGGTTCCATAGAAAGCGCTATTGTAGTTACATATTTTAATAGTGATTTTTAAAAAGCGCTATCGTAGTGCTTTTAATAATAGCGCTTTTATAAAAGTGCTATTGTAATACAACATTTTAATAGCGCTTTTTAGAAAAGCGCTATCTTAGTGAATATCTATAATAGCGCTTTTTTACAAAGTGCTATTAAAATCATATTCTCTGTACTCTTTAATAGCGCTTTACTATAAAGCGCTATTATAAATATGTTTGTTTCTTTTTTAATAGCGCTTATTTCAAAAGCGCTATTAAAGTAGGCGATACAAAAAATCACTTTTGGCGTAGTGAGAGAGACTATGAAAATGAAAGAATGAAAGAGAATGAGAGTTTGAATGAATACTTTAATAGACTCTCTGAATTGGTGAATCAAATGAAGTCACATGGAGATACAATAGATGATCGCGTAATTGTTGATAACATTCTGATTAGTTAGACAGAAAAATTTGATAGAAGAGACTAAGGACGTATCGACTATATTTGTTCAAGGGTTGATGGGGTCTTTGAGATCCTATGAGCAAAAGTTATTACGACACTCTGAAAAATAAGTTGAGAGTGTCTTTCAATCTAAATTCAACATTCAGTCCAACAATGGTGAAAATAAGCCCCCAATACAAAATAGAGGTGAGTCTTCTAGAGGTGGCAGATTTGGAAGAGGCAGAGGCAGAGAAAGAAACTCACGAGGAAGAGGAAGAAGCGCAAATGACAGAAGATGGCATGAAGGAACATCAAATAAATGGTGCAAAATTTTTAAGAGTAGCACTCCTGAAAAGAAGGGTTGTTGAAACAAGGGAAAACCACAATGTCACAATTGCAAGAGATTCGGGCACATTCAAAAGGATTGTCGTTTTTCCAATCAACAACATGCTTTATTTGTAGAAAGATAAAATAATGAAGGTAATTTGTTCTTTACTTGTCAAAAGGCATTTCAAGAAGATAAAAATGTGGGGTATTTGGATAGCGGTTGTAGCAGTCATATGACCGGAAAGAAAGAAGCTTTTATCAATAATGATTCTTCATTTGCCTCAAAAGTTAAATTGGACAATGGAAAACATATTGAAGTAAAAGGAAAAGGTAGCATTGGAGATACAACAAATCAAGGAAGCAAATTCATTCATGACACTCTTTATGTGCCACACTTAGATGTGAACTTGTTAAGCATTGGACAACTTTTGGAGCATGGTTATTCTCTAAATTTTGAGAATCGAGAGTGCATAATTTTTTATTCAAAGAGAAGAAGTGTTGTTGTTGTAAAAATGAATAAAAATAGAAGCTTTCCACTTTCTCTTAATTATGAAAAAAATGTCAGCATGATGGCTAGAGAAGATAATGACTCTTGTTTGTGGCACAAGAGACTTGGGCACTTGAACTGCAATAGTCTTAAGTTGCTTCATCAAAAGAAGATGGTGTATGGGCTGCCAATAATTGAAGAAAAATATGGTGTGTGTGAAGTATGTATGCTTGGCAAACACCACCGCCAACCATTTCCAAAGGAAAGAGCATGGAGAGGCAAACAAGTATTGGAACGTGTACACATAGATGTGTGTGGCCCTATGAATACTTTGTTTCATAGCAACAACATGTACTTTATCTTGTTTATTAAGGTCGGGGTACACCGTTATCCTACATCAAATGTGAGATAAAAAGGTTTTAAAAAACAATTGCAACACAAAATAGACGATATGTAGATAGCTCTGAAAACACATCTCAGACTGACACATTCCGGTGGCAACCGACTAACACTGCACAAAACCAAAAAATTAGGACACCCTACTTGATGAAAACTCCGCTATTTTAATTTATAAATTATTCAACACTTGATATCAAGTGTCACTAATATTAAAAACAAACTATTCCTTTATCTCAGCTGATAAAGTAAACATAACTGAACTATGTAAGAACATTGCAACGATGAATATATTGAAAATAACAATAGGAGAGAGATATGAACATACCAATTCCAGGTATTACACTTTCACCCACGATTTCTAAATTCTTGTATGAGTAACCAACAAAGTTAATATATTTAGATGGAAGCATCTGCAAAAAATGAAGAACGCCACTTGGTCAGCTTCTTATAAATCCTGACATAATGAATACACTAATAAGTTTTGCCCGGTTCTTTGTCAATGGATAAAGACGCGTCCCATCACCACCTTCAAGTATAATGCCAAGAACACTCTAAAACATTATCATCAAAGAAATAAACATTTCATTCAATTCACAATTGACCCTACCAAATTCAAATATAGCATATACCCAATTGCTAAAACATTGAGAAAATAAACAAAAGATTGATTTTTTTCCCTTCAATTTCTATATGTACATAAATTTCTATATGTACATAAACTTGCAGAAGAAGAATAGCATTTTGAGCAACATCAACCAAAATGACCTCAAAATATTTGAAGGTTGAATCCTATTTTCAAAACAAAAAGAAAGGGTTAAATCAACCAGCGAAAATTTCATTACCAAGATAATCTGCAAAACAAAAACAAACCTCATTGACCCAGTAGGAATTGAGAACCCTGAGGCCTCCAAGCTTATGTCCAGCACTCTCCTCAGCAAGTGACCTCTTGCTTCTCTGAAACTTCAATTGGGTAACTTCCTGAGTTGTTGGCTTACCATAAGTAATACATTTTAGAACAGGCCTCTTCCTACCACCTCTATGGACATGAACATGGTAAAAAAACATAACCCTGTTGTAATACCCCAAATTTTACCCTTACATTTAGTCATCCTTATCGCATATCATTCCATTTGTAATCACTAACCAGTCCTAGAGTTGATTTGTTTTGCATGAATCCAGTTCAAGGGCGTTTTGGTCATTTTATACCATGTTGGCCAATCCTGAAGAAAATCGATCTCTAAGCCTCGGGGCATTCAGAACATGATACGTGGGACAGTTGTCTGTCATATAAGTTGGTCATCGTCAAGGCATCGAACTGGCACGGTTTATTATTGAAAATTGCCGGGAGT